CCCCCCTCCGCTAGTGCCCTTGCAGGAACTGAATAAAGATGTCCTCCCCAGGCCCCTGAGCTGAGAAACTGCCACACTCCCAGTTGGCGGCCCAGCCTAAGGGTAGGTGGGCCCGGCCGGAGAGGAGCATTACCTAGCCTGGAGTGTGCACCCTTTCTGTCTTCACTTTCTCAACTTTCCAAAAGAACTGACCCAAGGCCTTTGGCCTCTGAGTTTTCTTTCAGTTGCCCCCTCGCTGGCACCCAGGTTCAGAGTCTCACTTGGGAGGCTTTCCACTGCGAATGACCCCTCGCAACACAGGGTTAGAGACAAAGGGGGTTTGAGGAGGACCCGGGAAGGAACTTGGCTGGAACCAGTTGAGGGGTACCCCCAAGCCCCTGTCTGACTGTACAGCCACCCAGATCCTGGGAGCAAGGTGAAGCCCCAACCAAGGTGAAGGGGCCCAACAGTAAGCCAGCAGGAATCAGACTGTTGAGACCCAAGGCCAACCAAGGGGGCACACATAAGTCCCCTAGGGTCTCCGAAGACTGGCCTCTCCCCTTGAGATCTTCTCCCCTAGATGAAGGCCGATGGCCCAGTGGGTGGGAGACCCATCTCCTTTCTGCCCTGTTGGCAGCACTGATTGTTTTCTTAATAAATTTTCAGTTCTGAAACAAACTACCCTCTCGCTGATCTGTCTGGGACGGGGGAGGAAGGAAGGTCCAAGGCTCTGCACCTGTGTAAGGGCAGCCCCTTCCGGGGCTCCCCACCCCACCCAAGAGCCCTGGTGGTGCTCTTGGGTGAGACGGAGCTGCTAACCACATGCAGGCCAGGTTCAAACCCAGCCACTCGGAAGATGAGACCCCTAAGGATACACGCCCTGCAAAACCCTTCCCAGGGTCGCTGGGTGGGAATGGGCTCAATGGCAGTGGGTTTGCTGCCCACCCAGGTCCTGTGCAGAGGCAGAAGAGAGCCACAGGGGCCGTGGTCCTTGGTTACTGCTTTATTGCTGTTTGGTTCGAGTATAGAAAATGGAAGCGGCTCTAAAAGAGCCTGTGTACAAGGTAGAAAATATACAAACCCAAAAGAGGGCAAGGAAAGGGGGAGCTAAAGAGACCGAGTTCCAGCCCAGCCCAGCCTGGGCTCCGGATGGGGGGCCGCCGGGGTGCATGCAATAAATATGGCCCGGGGGCCCTAGGGAAAGGGGACACCGCGGGAAAGGGAGGCCGAGTGCAGAACTCCCTGCCCTTGGTGGTCGGGAAGGGGAGGTTTGGCCCTGGGGCTAGTGCCACTTGTGCAAAATGAGGAACTTCACATTATCAGTCCCGAGGCAGGTGGGGGCGGGGGCGGGG